GCATAATCCTATTTATCCTTAATTACTATAAGATCCTACAAGAATTAGTTAAATATAAGAGTTTATTATTCACTTATTTATTATAAAAATCAGTGCATACCTTTCCTGCATAAAATCAATATATTCATATAACAAAATCAAAAAGGTTTTAACCTATAAACAAAGATTATGACAGTACTGCAGTATTTGGGTTTTCCTGGTATTTAGGTGTTTTTGGGGGTATTCGTTTTGGTGTGGTCTTGGTGAGATCCATTTGGAAGATATCCCACCATTTTACAGACATGGTCTTTCCTAATCGAGGGATATAGGTATAGTCATTTGTGGTATTGGATGAGATGGTATAATCCCATTTCATGATTCATGGGATTTGATATAAGGCCATGAAATATAGGTAAGTGTCAACCATATTATCATTATTATTGTATTGCACAAATTGTTCCTGCAGGTTTTTGAAAGCAGGAGGTAGAACCAAAGAAGTTGAGCCCCACACTACGAACCAATTTTAAAACCATGTGGGGAATCTTTCAAAAATAGGCCGCCGGAACTGAAGATACCAGCTGTGTGTGTTGTTTGGATTTTGGTAGTAAAAGAATTTGTGTCAGGCTTCTATATATTCGGCATATTTGAAATATTTGTATGAAAACTCTGGGTTGTGTAATTTCTTTCCCTGTGCGGGATTGTAACCCCACTCATCATAGGGAAGAAGTTTCTTTATTTGAACTTTGGAATAAGCAATGATTCTGGTATTTTGTTGGAAGTAATGGACAACAGAGATGGACCCTGTTTCCATGAGTATGGCTTCATAGTATTCTCTTGTCTTTACCCCATTGGTAGGGTTGAGGTGGTTTAGTAAGTATAAAGGTGCAAGTTTGATAGGATCCATATGAACCTGATGTTCATCTATGGTGATATCCTTTAAGAAGGCTCTTTCAATGTATACAGATCTTGGGATATTTGATGTAGGAGCAGATTTTGATTGAGCTGGTGAGTATGTAGGAGTAGAAGCATGTGCTTCTGGATAAGTAATTTGATGTATTGGGGACTGTGAAGGTGAACGGATATTTAGCAGGGAAGGTTCCCCTTCATAAGGTACTATGTTTCTCATGGGTTGTTTATCCCTGCGAGAAGTGCCACGGGATCCCATGTGTTCAGATGAGGATAAAATATCAGTATGGATTTGGTTTTCGTTGAATAATTGGAGAGCAAGGGATAATGGGGATTCGTCGTTGGCGTCAGTGTAGGCCCCCCTGCAAAAATTCACGGGTTAGAAAATCAGGCAATGAATTAGAAGACCCGGGAAGGTGTTCGATGGAAAAATCAAAGGCGGATAAGATTGCCTGCCATCGAGCAAAGATTTGTTTAGAAACCAAATTTTGAACATCTTTTTGCAAGATATCTTTGGCTGCTTTGCAGTCTGTTCGTATTAAGAAATGTTGATTTAAAATATCACTTTAAAATTTAGTTACACAGTGAACTATTGCTAATAATTCTTTTTTGACCATGGAATAATTAAGTTGAGTAGGATTCCAAGCTTTGGAAGTATAACGAAGTAATTGTTCTGTGGAATCAATTTGTTGTTTTAGAATTCCACCGAGACCTTTATCGGATGCATCACATTCAATGATTTTGAAAGCAGTTGGATGGGGAAGGGAGAGACATTCTAGTGTCTTTACCTTTCTTTTGATTACCTGTACTGCTCGAGTATGAATATCTGTCCATGGTGGAGGATTCTTTTTGAGTCTATCATATAAAGGCTTATAATCTAATGCAAGGTTAGGATAAAAATCACTAACATAGTTCAAACAACCTAAGAATCTTTGAAGTTCTTTTTTATCAAGTATTTGATCAGGGAACTTATCAGTAAATTGTATCAATCTATCTATGGGAATAATAGTTCCATGATGGATCATATGTCTAAGAAATCTTATATTGGTTTTGAATAGTGTTATCTGTTTGGCTGAAACAACTAATCCAGCATTCTTTACTGCATGTATAAATGTATGAATGTGTTTGATATGTTGATCTATTGATTCCGAGAAGATTAGTACATCATTAATATATACTATCATAAAATGATGATAAGCATTAAACACATCATTCATTATTTTTTGGAATTCTGATGGAGCATTTTT